TTCAGCTCTCACCCAGAAAAATGAAGTAAAGGCACTTATAACAAAACAGGAACTTTATATGTTTATATAAGAGGTTGTAGCTTAACAATGATGTTTAATAAGTCTTTACTGAAGACATTCTAGCGGACAGAGAAATGCTTCCTAGGACTGGCTATTGTTTTACTCCACCCAAAGAACACTTCCAGCCCCTCCAAATCTTAACTCTCTCTTTAGGTAAAGAGAAAATTGTCTGGCCACAGACTATTCCTAACGTCAACACTAACCCACTCTGTTTCCTCTATCCTATTTGAGTCTGCTCGGCTAGCCAGAGCCCACATTGACCACAGTGCAGGGACACATGGTAGACACAGAATGCAATCAGCTTTTTATTAACAGAAAATAACAACACAGTAGAGTCCTCTGGTTTCTCTTAATCCAGCTGAGATGTTGCTGAAATTGATCACTAGCCCTGACCTTCCCCCTCTAGCCTCTCACTCTGGATTCGTTTCAAGCAGACAAAGGCTGTGTTGAGGGGGGGGGGCTCCTCCTCTAGACCTGTTTGGCCTGTTGTTCGGCAATGTGCAAGGACTCTCCTCAAGCGGGGTGTCAGAGGGGGAGGAGAGCCAGCAGAATTGGGACTGTTCTGTTGTTGGGCAGCAAGGGCAACCTCTGACTCCTCTTTGTCTGAGTCTGTGCTCACACTGTGACTCTCAGTCTCTAACCCTATCCTGGAATGCCCTCCTTCTTCTGACCATTCTTGATCACTCAACCCCCTTGCTTCTTGCACCTCTGAGCTTGTCCCTTCTGCAGACTGCTCTTCAGTGTCCCACCACCATGATCCAGGATCTAAGTCATCATCTGTGTCCTTCCTGAGGGGCTCTTGGGCAGGCAGCTTCCAACGCTCTTCCTGATCCAGCCAGTCCTTGACATCCCATTCCCCCACCCCTACAAGTTGATCTACTTGTCAGCTCCCACTGGCTGTTGGGTCACAAAGAGGCAGACCCAAGGGTTCTCCATCACAACATTCATATAAATATATATTTGGTATATTTTTATGTACACACACTGCACCATATATTAGCAGGTTCATTTTTTATTGATTACTTAGATTATTGTTATTTTTGCATATTTTAAACCTCTTTGTTTATCTGAGTATATGCAACATTTACATCACACCTAGGAATAAAAAATTGGGATTCAGTCAGAAGCTTGAAGGTAATCTACCTAAGACACGGAAACCATTGTTGTTTAGTCGTTTAGTCGTGTCCGACTCTTCGTGACCCCATGGACCAGAGCACGCCAGGAAACCATACTGCCCTAATATATATTTAAAAATGAAGATTCCTTACTGTCTAAGGACTTGCTCATTAAGTTTGTAATTTGCTGTTGTTATCATCATTCAGATTTCTTAACCACCATAAAATCAAAAGAATAGTTTTGGTCCTAAAATCATACATCCAAAGTTTCAATACCCCTCACATGTTTTTTTTAAAAAACACATTAGTTTAAATTATTGTTTTTGAGTCACTGCCATTACATATTTTGCCCAGCTTTGCTGTTGTGAAGGTCTTTATAAGCAATAATCCAGGGAATCACATGTCTACCTTCCCATCAGAAATTGTTTCCTTGATTGCCAACATTCCTGTGTTTTTTATTCTTTTGCTTTTAACTTGTTTTTATTTTGTAAAATGATTTTACTGTATGGTTCGTATTTTAAATTATCATAAACCACTATGATAGATTTCTATGATACAACAGTATATAAATATATTTATAACAAAATAAAATAAATCTTCATTTTTTAATACTTGTCTTTATTTACAAATATACAGAACAGTTAAAATATGCATGCCTATGGATGGGACTTACTTCTGAGTAGGCATGGATGGGATTGCACTGTCAGTCTAGATCAGATTTGGTGTGCTCAATGGGACTTGGACTAGGGAAAGGGTAGACTGAGTTGCATCCTTTATGTACCAGGATTTGCTTTAACTTTTGAGAGCATTGGTAGTTCTGCATTAAGAAATTTTAATATTTATCTATAATGTACACTGGGGGTTGTGGTGCTGGCTGGACATGAGATGGTTGGTGGAACCAGGAAAAGCTGTTGGATAAAGTCTTATCAGTCCTGAAAAAAATGCCAAATGTCTCATTTGATGGGGGGGGGGGGTTGGTTGCTTTCAATAGCTGCCCCTTTGAATAGCCAAGAAGCAAAATCTCTCTTTGGGTGCTAGTAGAGTATCACCATCTTCAGGTAGGGTTCAATCACATGCCAGCAAATTCAGGTTGTGCATTTACAGGTGATTAGGATGTCTTGTGCAACAAACATGCCTCCAAAAAATATTGCACTTTCGTGTTATGGGACAGACAAAAGTATGAATTAACACTTCCTTGATGCACTGTTACCTAACCTCCCCTCAAATAAATCATGTGGGCTCACACTCTCTACTCTCCAACACAGCTAAGAATGGTGAAAACAATCTGTCTGAGAAAAGAAACTGCAGTCGGTGAAAGAAAGAAGGGGGGGTAGACAGAGGGACAGAGAAATGACATTGGGGCTCTGGGGTTTAAGAGTGATTGAGGTGCTGGACAGCTCCCCAGGAACCTGACAGAGGTGCATTGGACCTGGACAGTCTGGGGAAATATTTAGGATACAACTTCACCTGTACCCAGCCTATATATTTCTGAATAAACACATATACTGGAAAATGTCAGCAAGCCTTTAGAGATCACCTTCCAAATTGAACCAGACGCAGGCAATCTGGTTTAACAGGTTGTGTAGGCTTTTCAAATACATAAGCATGCAAAAAAGAATGAAAGAATCCCAGAAGAATGAAAAAGGACAAACAGAGATTCCTCTTTCAGCTCCCTATAAATACTTTTCATTCCAGTTTGGTTTACTTTTGTCTGTCTCCACAATCTTGGAGAATGTCTGTGGTGTGTCAGAGGAAAACCAGAGAGCTGCTGCCTCATAGCAGTAATATTATCACCACCATCACAAGTATCTTTAATTAGCTGCTTTTTTCACAAAACCTAACCCAAAGCAAGTTATAAAATGGTAGCAACATGTGCCACTGAGGGTGATTGCCTCACTTTGCCCAATGGTAGTGCCAGCCCTGCTTTTGTGCTTGATAAGGACTGCTAGACAACTGAAAGAATTATGAAACAATCACAAGATGCAAAATGCCACTCCTTAAAATCTCTCAAAAGTAGCTATAGTCACAAATCCTATAATAGAGAATTGGTGGCAGCCAGTGGGATGCTGCCCAAGCGTTATTCATCCCCAGCTCCAATCAATCCCACACAGCATGGTCAATGGTGATGGGAGTTGTAGTTCAGAAACATCTGGAGGACACCTATCTGGGAATTACAAGACAGATTGTAACATTTTTTGCAGCCTAGTTTGTGTTTTAAGGAGGGAAATTGCTCAGTGAATTTAGAGCATGTCTACCCCATCAGCCCTGTCCATCTCACTTGCTCTCTCCTTACTCACTCTGAGGTTGCATGAGGAACATCTCTCCACAGCCACTAAGATCTTGCACTGGGAAGTGGGAAGTGGCATTCCAGTGTCATCCAATGCCTTTGAAAATCAGCAAGTGAGAATAATGAAAAGACTTCCTGATTTATCTTGGCAGGGCAAACTGATGTGCTGTGTATGGCGGAGCTGAATGATTGTGACTGCAAAGGGAGTTTCTTGCCAAAGTTACTGCTCTGATGTCTCCAGTGAGGGAAAGAATTTGAGAATTTGTAAAAGAAATTCCTCCCCGGTACAGTTTACTTTTAAGTGGCATTTATTATGTGCCATGTGTAAGTTTCCTTGGTGTAATGGTTAGCACTCTGGACTCTGAATCCAGAGATCAGAGTACAAATCTCGGTGGAACATACTCCTTCGTTTTAAGGGACTACTCCTTAGTTTTTAAGGGTCTAAAACCACAGAGCCTAGGGCTGGCCACATGACCTGGAAACTGTATGCCGGCTCCCTCAGCCAACAAAGCAAGATGAGTACCACAACCCCAGAGTCGGTCAATACTGGACCTAATGGTCAGGGGTCCCTTTACCTTTACCTTTTATGTGCCATAGGATGGATTTGTACTTTGTAAGCACCTTCTTGATTTAAAAATTTGAAGGGAATTGATGTTGCTGCACCATAATTGTCCACAGTACTTTACAACATGAAAAAGAAAAGAGCTCTGCTTTCAAGGATCTTACAGTTTAATAGAAGGAAGGGTAGAGAGAGATAAACAGGGAAAGAGCATGTAAATGATTTAGTAGCACCTGCTTGGATTTGGCTACAAGGTAGGTGACAGAAGGGCATAGGGATCTAAGTGGTTCACAGAAAGAGACTGCTAGTTTCCCCTTCCATGTTCAGAATAGGCAATCTGGATCAGAACCATAGTGTGGGGAGAAAGGGTTAAAGACCATGCATGTCATGTCCCCAAAATAATTGGAGTAGGGTGGTTGTTTAGAAATAATTACTTTGGTAGTGTCAATGAAATATGTGTTCCCAGTTCTGCAACTTAAAATATCACACTATCAGGTTTATTGAATGTTATATATCAAAAACTGATATTTTTGTTTAATACACATACTAAGTTTATTTAATTACAGGTTATATTCACGTGCATTTAACCTCTTTTTTATTTGATTGCCAATGATAATGTACATCACAGTCAGGCAGTAATAATAGGGATTTGACCAGAAGCTAGCAGGGCTTTTGCATAGGAAATGAAAACCACAGTGCCATAATATTGGTTTTTAAAAATGAAGCCTCCTTACTGATAAAGGACTTGCTGATTAAGCTTGTAGGTTCTTATTGTTCTTGTTAATTAGATTTCTTACTAACTCCTCAGCATTAAAAAAGAATATGATGGGTACTTAATTCATATTTCAAATGTGCCAAAGCACATTTTTAAAAGATCAGTCCAATTTTTATCAAAAATGGTTGTTTTCAACACTCTCCAATTACATGCTACACCCAACTATGCTGCTGTGAAGGTCTCTATAAGCAACAATCCAGGGAATCACATGTCTACCTTCCCATCAGAAATTGTTTCCTTCCCTGTCAGCTTCCTTATGGCTGACTTAACATCTTTGTTTCTCAGAGTGTAGATCAATGGATTCAGCATGGGAGTAATGATATTGATATTGTACAGGACAGGGGTCAGCTTGTCTACTGAGATAGTGGATAAGGGCCCACCGTAGATAAAGATGCAAGGACCAAAGAACAATGTCACCACCATTAGGTGAGAGGCACAGACATTGAGGGCTTTGCGCCGTCCCTCAGGGGAGCGGATCCTCACCAGGATGGTGGCATAGGAAGCAACCAAGATGACAAAGCAGCTGATTGAGATGAGGCCACTGTTGGAGACTATGAGGAGTTCAGTGACGTAGGTATCAGTGCAGGCCAGCTTGATAACCGGTGGGACATCACAGAAGAAGTTGTCCAGTTGGTTGGGCCCACAATAGGGAAGCCCTATAGTGAGAACTAACTGGACTGTGGAGTGGATGAAGCCCCCAGTCCAAGAGGCTGCCACCAGCCAGCTACAAAGCTGCCTGTTCATGATATTGGGATAGTGCAGAGGCTTGCAAATAGCCACATACCGGTCATAGGCCATGATGGTGAGAAGGAACATCTCGGTAGCACCCACAAAATGGAGGAAAAAGAGCTGGGCCATGCAGGCATCAAAGGAAATGCTCTTCTTCTTGGACAAAAGGTCCACTAGAATTTTAGGGGTTGTGACTGTGGAGTAGCAAAGGTCCACGAAGGAGAGGTTCCCCAGCAGGAAGTACATAGGTGTTTGCAGTCGAAGGTCAGAAGTCACTGTCAGCATGATAAGACTATTTCCTACTATGGTAGATGCGTAAACCAGGAGGAAGACCGCAAAAAGGATGGCTTGGGACTCCCATGTTGGGGATATGGCCATCAAAAGGAATTCATTTATTCTTGTCTGGTTTTCTTTAAGGTGCCCCATTTAGCCTGTAAAAGGGGAAAGGAAACATATTTTTTTATTCATTCATTCAAAAATATTTTCTAAGCTGCCAGCTCATTGAAGAAATCATCTTAGTGTGCTATAAAATTGCTAAAACATCATAAAATAGGTTCCTTGAGAGAGAGGACAGGGAACAAGTAAGTAAACCAAAGCCAAACCCAATGTTTTTCCCTTTCAGAGTAAACCAATTGAAATGAATGAACATGACTAGCTTTCATTTGTTTCTAAGTGAAGGGGGTAGTTTTGATTCACTTCTCTATGAATGAAACATTTATTCCAGAACTGATCTTCTGCATAGCTTTTTCTGGAAGATGTTTGAATAGAATATATTGTGTTAAAAAGCCAGGGATTTTTTCTGGGGGTACTCAAGGTTATACAGTACTGACACCTTTCTTTTTAGAAGAAAAGCACTGTTTAAAACCACCACTTTATTCCACATCCCTTTACTTATTTACTCAAACCTCTGTTGTTGTTGTTGTTGTTGTTGCTGCTGCTGCTGAAAACTGTCTTTTTCTTCTGTGTCCCTTCCTTCCCACTTTGCTCAGACCATTTCCATCATTTAAAACTGCTATTTTCTGTTCTGTCTCTCTTCACCACTGCTTTGGGCAAACTTCTGCTGTTATAGAATCAAAGAATCATAGAACTGTGGAGCTGGAAGGGACTGAGGGAATCATCTAGTCCAATGAATTTCCAATGAAGAAGAGTGAAAATTGATGTTTTAAACTTTCCCCTCTTCCATTTCTCAGTTGCCTCGTGTGGGAAAGATAAAGGATACAAGGCCCTCTAATATTCCATTGTATCTACTACCATCACTCCTGGTACCATTTGTTGTCTTTAACATGAGGTTCGAGATTCAATGTGGTAATTTAGAAAGGATATTTTAAACAACCATATGTGCACAACATCCATCAACTGAACTTAAGATTCTCTATCTGAATAAGCAAAGTGACAGCTTGCTCTTAAGATTCTCATATTAAAGATGAGCAACATATATCAGTATGGGTTGTATACACAAAGGGGGCTGCAGAACAGGAGAAGGTATGGAAATGATGGTGATCACACAGAAAGGGAGAACTAAGAAGAGAACGGAGAAGGGTGAAGAGATTAAAAAAAAGAGTGAAGCTGAAAATGGAAGTGGAAAGGGGGTTGCCAATGCCCCCCCCCAAAAAAATGAGTAGGAGGAATGGGAATGAGGTTGAATATGAAAGCACTGGCATAGAAAGGTATACAGCATGGGAGTTGGGCAGAATGTGAAAACGGTGCTTAGATGTTGAAGTCTTTGGGACGGGGGAGATACCAGAGTTACATGCAGTGGTTTGTGCGCAAGAGAGGTTGTAGAAAATGTGAGGCAGGCATGAAGGTGAAGGTGAAAACAGAGGAGCAAAGCATTTTGTGCTTACAGGAATCAGTAGACAATTGACAGAATTGTGGAATGATCACAAGCCACAGAATCTCTGCCTGACCTCTCTGAACTCAAAATCATCTATCACTCCCATATCCTATGATAGAGAATTTGACTAGATATAGCCAATGGAATGTTGTCAAGATGTTAATCACCTCCAACCAACCCTGCCAACATGGTCAGTGATGATGGAAGTAATAATAATAATAATAATAATAATAATAATAATAATAATAATAATTATTATTTATACCCCACCCATCTGGCTGTGTTTCCCCAGCTACTCTGGGTGGATTCCAGCAAAATATTAAAATACAATAATTTATCAAATATTAAAAGCTTCACTAAAGAGGGCTGCCTTTAATCCAGCAGCATGTGAAAAGCATAACATTGATAAGGTCTGAATTAAAATATAGATTCTAAACCTTCTTTGCAACTCAGCTCGTGTCTGAAGGGGGGTAATTTTTTTTAAGCAAATTTGAATCTGACGTACCCCATCAGCCCCATCCATCTCACTTGCCCCTTACTCACTCACTCTGAGGTCACTTGAAGATTGCACAGAGAACTTCTTTCCACAGCTGATCCAATCTCAGTCTCAGAAGCAGCATTCCGGTTTTGCTTGATGACTTTGAACTCTCCATGCCAGATGGAAAATGGGAACAATGAAGAGGATGCTTGATTTATCCCTTTAGATCTTGGCAAGGTAAACTGGTGCTATGGGCATTCAAGAGCTGGATGATCATTGTTACAAAGGGAGTTTGTTTCCAAAGTTACCACTCTGACATCTGGCTCTGGTGTCCCCAGTGAGGCAAAGGAAACAAACTTTGAGAACTTGCCACCATCTGGAAAGCACAGCAAATTCATCCTCATGCCCCCTTTAGATTTGATCTGAACTCACTAAACCCAGTGGAGTAGATTTGTGCAGTGGATTAGCCTCCTTGTTTTACAAATGTTAAAGCAATTGTTTTGTTTCATCAGCAGTGTACACAGTGATTCACATCATAAAAGAGAACAGGCCTCTGCCTCCAAGGAGCTTACAGACTAAAACTTGATTCAAGAAAAACAAGGAAGGAAGGATAGAGAAGGAAAGACAGGGGGAAACAGAGAACAAATTTTTAACTTGGGTTCAGCTACAGGATAAAACCCTAGTGGGCTTTGGACCCTCTGGCAGGCCAAGATTAACCCACAAACCAGAGCTCCCCCCCAACGCGAGTTGGAGGAAATTTGTTTTCTGCTGCTCAGGAGGGTAGGATCCAAACCAATTCCAGTTAAAAGGTGGGGAGGGGGCTTGTCTGATGGTATGAGCTGTGCAACAGTGGAGCAGCTTTCCTTAGAAGGCACTGGATTCTACCTTCATTAGAAGTGTTGAAATATAGGTTGATGTCTGCCTATCCCTACCAGGGATACTTATTTATTTATTGGTATGTCTTTAAGTTAACATCTTACATTAAAAACCTGACAGTACCAAACTATCAAAGGCTTTTCACCAAAGCCAGACTAAACGTCTTTCCTTCTGCAGTGTTGGATGGCAGGTTGAGAGGAATTCCCTACCAGGACAGACTTTGCTCGTGTGCTCAAGACATCGATTCCATAAATAATATTTTGTTGCATTGTGCAAAATATGAGCAGGCCAGGGCTGAACTGATACTACCCTTGCTGGTACCTTTCCCGGGAAAATCAGAGGTTCACTATGTCAGGTTCCTATTGGAAGACAGGACAAATGCTAGAACATTAGCAGTGGCAAAGTTTTTATCAGTGGTTGCAAGAACCAATGATCCCTATATTCTGAACGAAATGCTTGTTTAACCTGGAGGTAGGCTATATGAATTGTGTATTGCTTTGTAATAATTTGTTGGGTCTCTGGACCGTAATAAAGATTGATGATGATTTATTTATTTATTTAACTTTGATCCTGCCATTCCTCGAATGACCTGAGGAAAGCTTATGTGGTTCTCCCCCCACCCTGCCCTGCCCAATTTTATCATCACAACAACCCTGTGAAGAGGTTTATGCTTAGTGATAACGACTGGTCCCATTTTACAGCTTAGTGAAAATCAGTGTGATTTTAAAGTGGTGGGAGCTTCTAGGCCTTATGAATATTTTTGTGTGTGAGAGTGATGCATAGCAGGAATAAAATGAACACCATGGGATAACTGGATGTGCATGATAAGACATATAAGAACATTTATTTGCTTGCAGAACACTGTGCACTTTAAGCTTCTAAGTGGGGAGGAAGGAAACTTAGTGGAGTTGCATGTGTTGAGCTGGTAATTCCACCTTCTGAATTAAACAGTGGTGAGGGTTTATGAGGCAAGCAGCAGACAGAGAAGAGGAGATTGTTCTGGCACTTTGTTATGCCATGAACAACTTGATGCAGATCACTGTCATGTAGAAAAATGGGTGTTATTGCACTTTTATGGACTGGATACCGAGCTGCTTCTTCTTTCACAATATATATGTTAATGGTAATGTATATTGAGCAACACGGGACATGGGTGGCACTGTGGTCTAAACCACTGAGCCTCTTGGGCTTGCCAATTGAAAGGTCAGCGGTTCGAATCCCCACAACGGAGTGAGCTCCCGTTGCTCTGTCCCAGCTCCTGCCAACCTAACAGTTTGAATGCACGCCACTGCAAGTAGATAAATAGGTACTGCTGTGGCGGAAAGGTAAACAGTGTTTCCGTGCACTCTGGTTTCCATCACAGTGTCCCGTTGTGCCAGTAGCAATTTAGTCATGCTGGCCACATGACCCGGAAAGCTTTCTGTGGACAAACACCAGCTCCCTTGGCCTGAAAACGAGATTAGCGCCGCAACCCCATAGTCACCTTTGACTGGACTTAAGTGTCCCGGGGTCCTTTATCTTTACCTTTTATTGAGAAATAATGTATATTTGTGTACAGCTACCAGTCATTGTACAACACATGGAAGATATGCACATACAGTGGTGCCCCGCAAGACGAATGCCTCGCAAGACGGGAAACCCGCTAGACGAAAGGGTTTTCCATTTTTGAGCTGCTTCGCAAGACGAAAACGTCTTGCGAGTGTTTCGATTTTTTCCCACTCCCCCCCTTTTTCTAAGCCGCTAAGCCGCTAATAGCCTTTTAGCCGCTAATCCGCTAAACCTTTAATAGCCGCTAAGCCTTTAATAGCCGCTAAACCGCTAATAGCGCTAAGCCGCTAAGCCGCTAATAGGGTTGCTTCGCAAGACGAAAAAACCACTAGACGAAGAGACTCACGGGATGGATTAATTTCGTCTTGCGAGGCACCACTGTAATCTGTTCATGAATGGGAAATTGTGTATACTCCTCTCCCATACATATTGGGGGACATGCATATCTCAGTTACATCTTATACATTCTCCAGACATTAGGCATACTCTCTAACAGACTTTGAGGGATGTGCATGAGTCGGACTATTTTGTACATTCTCCAGGCATAATGTGTAACATCTGTGGTATCTTAATTTCATTATGCAAACTCTCCAGCAGTCCTCAGGTAATGTACACATCTCAACAGTTTTTATTATTTCACAGCAGGGTTTTGTATTCTGGCATTGAAAAGATTTCTTCATTTTACACTGC